CAAAAGACCTGAACTGTGTTCTATAACTGTCATCATTTTTCTAAGTTCATAGAGTTTCCAGAGGCATATTGTTTAGGAAGTGGATGCCACTCCTGCTTCCAAGCCTTTCTTAATCTGGGAGTTCCACCAAACACTGTCCACAATGGGTAACCATTATGGCATTTGACATACTGTTGGCATAGTACTCAGCATCACAGCAACCCCAAGTTACCTCAGCACAGCAAATTGACAGACCAGTGCAGTACTACTTAGAAGAATATTCCTCCCAAACACAATTAACACCAGACCTGAGGCCTCAACCTACTTTTAAATACAAAGTCCCACCCATCAAGTCCTGATTTACTCTAAACAAGAGGTTTCCAGCCCACAGCTAAATCCAGCAAATTAAATCAGCTCATATACAGTTGTGAACGAAATAAAAAAATAACCAAACAGTCCATACCCAAGACCATCAAGCAAAACAAGAGAACTCACCTTCCAGAATCCAACTGCTTCACACATGAGCCTCCAAACTGAAGACTTAGTCAGGCCCCACCCGACTTTTAAATACAAAGATCTGCCCACTAGGTCCTTACACACACACACACACACACACACACACACACACACACACACATTGATGGTTTAATGATAAGTAGCTATGCAGCAATCCAAAAGCACACAATCTGAATTGACCACTTGTTCTGCAGGAGAAGATGAACTATATCTTCCCATGCACTGTACTGCCTCTGAAAACCCTCTGACTCTACAGTACACAACAGTGTGTGTGTGTGTGTGTGTGTGTGTGTGTGTGTGTGTGTGGTTGGAGAATATTTTTAGTAATTTGTAAGCAACAATAATTTTCTGAGAATTTAGTCTTAGGCATGCTTAATAGTCATATTTTTCCAACCGAGTTGACCTATGACCCTAGGAAATATTTCTTCTGTATTTCCACATAATTAGCACATTTCAAAGAGTCATTAACATTAGATTTTAAAATTTGTCTTCCACTTCTCAACCCTATTACTAGATATCAATCTTCTGTAGATACTAAATAATATTAATCTTCTTATGCACTTGTATCAGGAAGCAGTTGTCAGAACACAGCAGGGAAACACTGCAGGTTCAGGATCAGGAAAGGTGTGTGTCAGGAATGCATCCTATCTCCATACCTTTTCAATCTATATGCAGAGCAGATCATTCAAGAAGCTGGACATTATGAGGATGAATGTGGCATTAAGATCTATTATACATTCTTATAAAATGTAAAAATCAGTTAAAAATTAGCCTAATAAAGTGTTAGAGAGCAAGATGTCAGTTTAAAGACTAAGATGCCCCTGAGCCAAGCCATGGTCTTTTCATTTGTTTCTTATGCATCTGAAAGTTGGACAGCAAATAAGGAAGAATCGATGCCTTTGATGTGTAGTGTTGGTAAAGGGTATTGACTAGCCCATAGACTGTCAAGAAAACATACAAGTTTTTTTTGGAGGAAGTACAATCAGAGTTCTCCTTAGAGGCAAGGGTGGTGAAACTCTGCCTCATTTGCTTTGGCCATATTCTCAGGAAGGACCAGTCCTTGGGAAAAGACATTATTCTGGGAAAGGTGGAGGGCCAGTGAGAAAGAGGAAGACCCTCACAGGATTGACACAGTGACTCTACCAATGGGACGAAGCAAGGCGGAGGTAGTGGGAATGGCGCAGGATAAAGTTCTGATCTCTTTTTTATAGGGTCACTCACAATCATCATAGTTGAACTCGACAGCACTTAAACAACAACAAACAATAAAGTAATAAAGGAAAAATAAAAGCATGTCAGGTCAATAATTCATGCACTTTTAAAATTACCCAAGTTTTGATACCTGCTTCTGCTTCTCTGTTAATGCACTGTGATCCATGACCAGTTGCAATATTAGCAGATTTGCTCTCTCCCTTCCAAAACCACTGTGGCAGCCTTCTAGCTATTACTGCTTGGAATTGTGCTCAGAAACACAAACACATGTCGATATTTTTCCCCAAAAGACTTAAGATAATTCTGCTGCCAAAATTATTACATATATTGAAGCTGAATAAAAACGATGTGGTGATTTTTCATATTGCCGTGCCCTCCTGTTAGTATTCTAATTGAGGAATAACTTGGTACATGAATCAACCTTCAGTCAGTTGTCAAAAAAATTCAAACTTGACTCAGTGAGTGGGTTCTGCCTCATAACTGACTCTCCATCAGGTTTCTGAGGTTCTAAACTATAACTGGAAGAAATTGCCTATTGTTCTCCAGAGGATAGCTAGTGAATTCAAACCTCCAGAGATGCAGCCTTTTGTTAACCCAAGTTGCCATGGACTATACACCAGGTACCCTAATTGTTCAAAAGCAATAATAACAGTTAAGAGCTGATAATGAAGGACTGCTCTTGGTATTGTGTTTTCTGTTTGTTATATAGAGAGTTGACATGAATTAAAGCAAGTGAGTGGGTGAACTTTGAGTGTTTCTGGTAACTCTGTGTGTGATTCTTCATGCTTAGAGATCTAACTATGCACACATTATCTGAGCTTTCATCCTTTTCTTGAGAATTAGACGTGACTTGTTTATAATACTTGCATTACTTATATGCTTAAATTTCCCCTGAAGTGAATTGTGTTTATACAGGTATGATTCTCAAGGCCAGGATTGGAACTGAAATTTGAAATTGAATATTCAAACACTAAACCTCAACCCTTTACCATTGTGTCAATTCTGGCTCATGGTCTAGCCTGGAGGGCAATGTGGTCTGCACCATTGCGTTTCCACTTTCTATGGAAGCAGCTGGCCTGTTAGAACTGCCCTCCTTCTAGCTAGCAGCTGAGTACTGTAACAGTGTCATTCAAACAATAACAGATTCTCTTATGCCGAGGAGGTGAGAATAGTCTATTCTATTGAAATATATCTCTATCAAGAAACTTCCTGAAGCAACTTTGAACATATTTCCTTCTTTGGAAAGGGGCTCTGGTGACCGAGTGGTGTGGTGAGAGGCCGTGCTTCAATCCCAGACACGTGGATGGTTTGAATCCACCAGCTGCTCCTGGGGAGAAGGATGGGTAGCCTCCTCCCACGAGATTTACAGCCTCTGACTCAATGGTACACAACAATAACAAACACCTGTACATAGAACTGCTATGGGCTGGAGTAGATGCAATGGTACCTAACAAAACATCATGTAGTACTGGGAGGAAGTCCGGTAGCTTGGCAGGCTGCTAACCAAAAGGTTGATAGTGTGAGCCTACCAGCCACTCCTTGGGAGAAAAATGTGGCAACCTGCTTCTGTAAAGATTTACAGCCTCTGAGACCCCATGGGGATGTTTTACTCTGTCCCGTAGGGTCACTGTAAGATGGAATATGTCTGATGGCAATGAATAAACACTACTGAGGGTATTTAGACAACTAGCATTTATACCAATATACTTCAGATCACTCACTGCATATTGAATGAAGTAGATTGAAAACGTACCTATTTCTGATATATATCCCATTCAATTTCCAAAGATGTCAGAATTTGTAACATGTCTCAGGAAACTGATTTTACCTAGCCATACACCTAATGCCCTAGATTGGATGTTATGCTGTCGCTATTGTTATTTATGGCTGTTGCGTTGGCACTGACTCAGAGCTGACCCTCCAGCAGATTGTCAGAGGCTGTCATCACATGGGAAGAGATTGTTTATCTTTCTCCTGCAGAACCACTGGTGGATTTAAACCTCTTGCCTTTGGGTTGGTAGCACAGCTCCTTACCGACAAGGCCATCAGAGCTCCCTTTATGCTGTTGTTGTTATGTGCCCGTGAGTCGAAACCAACTCATAACTGACTCTAAGTGGTTTTCAGAGGCTGTGAAAAGCACAGAAGGAGACTGCCCATCATTTCCCCCACTTTATGCTGTTGGGATTTTTTTTTTCGTGGTCTCTAAACCATTTATTTCTCCTGACAGGGAGGTGGGCTGGATTAGGACCTGAAGGGCAGGGCCACTACAGACCAAGGCAAGGGAGTGTGGCCCTCAGGCAAAAGTGGAGTGGTTCCATCCCACGTTGGCCGCATTCATAGTAGTTGGTATTGTGTTTTCTGTTTGTTATATAGAGAGTTGACATGAATTAAAGCAAGTGAGTGGGTGAACTTTGTTTCTGGTAACTCTGTGTGTGATTCTTCATGCTTAGAGATCTAACTATGCACACATTATCTGAGCTTTCATTCTTTTCTTAAGAATTAGACCTGACTTGTTTATAATACTTGCATTACTTATATTCTTAAATAATGTCGGGGCTGATGTGCAGTCTCTGGGAATCAGACCGCACAGCAGCTTGGTGTAGGTCCGGTTTTGCGCGCCGCCGATCTTGCCGATGCTGTGCGGGCTGCAGAGCGCACAAGGGTCGCTTGAGCCACCGAAAGCCATAAGCTGGTCTGGGACCACTTGCACTGCAATGTACTGGGACTGTTTGCCGGTGGCCTGTGCCAGCTGCTGGGTAAGCTCAGAGAGCAGCCCGTCAGGCGCGGATGCGCGAGGCACGTTAATGTTGACCACAAACATCGGCATGATGGCGGACAGTAGTGAGCGTGGCGTCTACAGGCCTGGAACTCGCTGTTGGGATTTTTTAATGCCTTATCTGTAAACTGAAAAGACTAAGCACAGAGATCATTCTTCCCTGGCCTGGGGGCAGAGATGTGTGATAATCTGAAGAGACACAGGAAGGGATTTTATATTTTAAGTCAATGGATTCCACGAAGTGTGTTTCAGAAAGAGCTTTTCCGTGAACTATTCATATACTAGAATCTCTTTTTCTCTTTGCAGACCCTTCAAGCGGCCTTTCCCCATATACATTTGAAAGTTAGATGCAGAAGCTGAGAATGCCCACGAGGTTTCTGATTTCCTTGAACACTTTCACAGATGCACTCTATGCCTGCCCAGTGTGAATGACATGCTGCTGCTCAGAGGACACTGCTATCAAAGTGGGTCCTTAAAGAGGCACGTCCAGTAGGAGAAGGGACGTCTGTAACTCAGGATGGCCAGCCAGCCAGCAGAGGACACGGCAGAGTCGCAGGTCTCAGATGAGCTCGAGTGCAAGATCTGCTACAACCGGTACAACCTGAAGCACAGGAAGCCCAAAGTGCTGGAATGTTGCCACAGGGTTTGCGCCAAGTGCCTCTACAAGATCATCGACTTTGGGGACTCCCCTCAGGGGGTCATCGTGTGTCCCTTCTGCCGGTTCGAGACCTGCCTCCCTGATGACGAAGTCAGCAGCCTCCCAGATGACAACAACATCCTGGTGAACTTGACTTGCAAAGGCAGGAAGTGTCTGCCGGAGAACCCCACCGAGCTGCTGCTGACCCCTAAAAGACTGGCCTCCCTGGTGAGTCCTTCGCACACGTCCTCCAACTGCCTGGTCATCACCATCATGGAGGTGCAGCGCGAGAGCTCCCCGTCCCTCAGCTCCACGCCTGTGGTGGAGTTCTATCGACCTGCCAGCTTCGACTCTGTCACCACCGTGTCACACAACTGGACCGTGTGGAACTGCACGTCCCTGCTCTTCCAGACGTCCATCCGGGTGCTGGTCTGGCTGCTGGGCTTGCTATACTTCAGTTCCTTGCCTTTAGGGATTTACTTACTGGTGTCTAAGAAAGTGACCTTAGGGGTCGTCTTTGTCAGCCTTGTCCCCTCCAGCCTGGTGATCCTCATGGTGTACGGCTTTTGCCAATGCGTCTGTCATGAATTTCTAGACTGTCTGGCACCTCCCTCCTAATCACCTAGCAGAGTAAGAAATTTGACACACATTGCCCTGCTAGCAGCTAGGTTGTTTATAACTTACTTTCTTCCACTAGGGGTTAGTGTCCATGACGTTAACCGAGCCACTGGGCATTTTTTGGTGGTCTGTTTCCCATCAGAATGTTGACTTGATGGGTTTGGCCACACAATGTGCCCTTCCACTTGGGTTTTAGCAAAGAAACAAAACTGTGTGGGCCAGGTCCTGGTGGCACCCCAGTAACAGGCTTCCTGAGAAAGGATCGTGTTCACTCTGTGTTGACAGCCATGTGGGGAGGGGGTGATGCAGGATGAAGATGGGTTGGAAGTCTGTGTGGAAAGCTGGGAGCAAACCATCCTTCTTCCTGTGGTGGTTGAACTTAAAGATGTGGAGAGCTAGTCCAGAATGTGTCCATCTGAAAAGTGTGCACTACACACACACACACACACACACACACACAGAGAGAACACCTTGACTAGTCTGATGTTTCCTCTTTGATATGAATGTCACTCTAGGGTTTGCTGCTCCTGAGGACTACTGGTCCTTCTCTGCCAAGAAGAACTAGCCTTGTCCCCTGAGTAACTTCAGGTAGATAGCTGTTTTGCCATCACACTAAGGAGGACCTGTACAATTTAAGTAAGAGTAAACTTCATGACAGAATATGATCATTGTTCTTCAAGACACACCTGTTCCTCCACAAGAATTTTCATTTCTCTCCAGCTTTCTCTGAAATTCTTATAGAGCAGCTATTGTTCATGAAACCTTTCACTTGAGTCTCTTTAAATTATTTTTGAGATTTTCCTATTTATAGTGGGGGTTTTTTCCTGCCTCTGTTTTCTTTTCTCTCTAAAAAAAGTGATGTTGTTGCTTAATCAGGCTATTTCAAATGAGGTATCATATAAAGAAATTGCTATACGTTTTAGAAGATCTTCGTCTTTAAATTCTAAGCTTTGCATTGGATCTTAAGGTCTACTTTGATCTCTTTCATTTAATCCTAAAACAATCTGAGGTGGATTGTGGCAGTCTAACAATGAAATGCCTTAGCTCCTGGTTTGAAGTGCTGACTGAGCACATAAGTGTTTTGCTGTATTGTATTGACTTGTACCAAAAATGACTTAAGGCCAGGCAGGAGGATGGGCAGAAAACACACAAAGCCCACCCCCTGCTTGAGAAAAACCTTCTAGAGAGTCAGGTGCAGCCTAACCTGTTGCTGCTCCTGTTTGAAATCTCTTTCAGAGTGGATTCAAGTTCTAGCACAGTTGATTTCAAGTGAGAACATATATGATGGGATTTGAGTTAATGCACCTCCTTGAAGGATGTAAGAGAAGTTGAATGTATATATTTATGAAAAGAAGTTGCTCAACAGGCTTAAGGTTTTGTTGGAATAGAATGTCCAGAAAAAAACAAAAAAAAAAAACAACAACAAACAAACAACGAATGTCCACAAAAACTAGGGAGGGTCCCACTTGAGAAGAAACAAAAAAACATAAAACACAACAACACAACCAAGCCTGGTTAATAGTCTCTAAATCTAATAAATAACATTAAAATGTTTATAACTCTTAGAATGGGCATTATTAAGACTAACGTGTTTATGATGAAATGTTTATTGCGTGCTTTAGTTAGTATAGACAAGTTCCACTTCACTATTCAGGAAAGATTAACATTTTTTTTTCTGGAATTAGCAATTTGCTTTCAATAATGTGACTGTTAACTTGGAAACTATCCATACCCCAAAAAAATATGATGGAAGGGATTTGTATAGTGGCTCAATGAATTTAAGCCACAAGATCCAACTAAATACATTTATAAATCCATAAAAAACTAGTTTAGATAGCATTATGAATATAATTTAACAAAATCCATTTGGACTTAGGGTAACTCTCATGTTTAGGAGATGTTTGTGGTTTGGATTGATTTCTTTTTAAGACTTTTAAAAAATGTTAATTTTATTTGAAATGTAATATCGCTGGGGGAGTGAGCATGTGCTGTGGTTGCTAGAAAGTTCTAGTTGTGTGTACTACATTCTATGTATTATGCTTACTTGTATGTCCTTAGTACTAAATTTTTGTCTCTCTGTGTATTGTAGCACTTTTTTTTCTAGTTGCCAGTAAGTTAATTTGGTTTTAAATGTATGACAAGGAAAATTTCATATTGTGAGTGAAGAAAGGATGATTCTTTAATATTTTATTCATGTGATAATGTTTTGATTGTGCATTAAATTGCTATCCAAACTGGAAGTTTCATTTTTCTGACTCATGGCCAGGATCCAATTATTACTTTGGACTTCTGTTGACTTTCCATAACTACAAACATAGATTTTCATGAAATTTGATTAAGCTAATCTATTTTATCATATGCCTAAAGATTTCAGAACTTTCAGAAAATGCTGATCTAACTGATTGTTCTCTAAAAGAACTTCGTTCTTTATAGAACAAAATGTGTAGGGGAGAAAAAGAAAGGAAGATTAAACAAAAATATTATCTTTAGCATTATAAATCATTTTCTTGGTTTTAATATGTCTGATTAGTTTTCCAAATTCTGCCCAGCTGCTCAATGAAACAGTCTATTGTAGTTGGAGAAATTATTTGATTTGGGCAAACTTTAAAAAGCAGGCTGAGTTTAAATGGGGCCGTGATACTAGGGATATTATAGCTAATGTTAGATGGATCTTAGCTGAAAGCAGGGAGTACCAGAGGAATGTCTATCTGTGTTTTATTGACTACTCAAAAGCATTTGACTGTGTGGATCACAACAAACTGTGGCTAACTCTGAGAAGAATGGGAATCTCAGAACACTTGACTGTGCTTATGCAAAACCTAAACTTGGACCAGAAGGCAGTTGTCAGAACAGAGCAAGGAAACACATAATGGTTAAAAATCTAAAAGAGTATACACCCGGGATGTGCCCTATATCCATCTCTTTTCAGTCAGTATGCAGAAAAGATCATCCAGGAGGCTGTGCTGTATGAGGAGGAATGTGGCATGAGGATTGGAGGAAGACTCATCAACAACCTATGTTATGCAGATGACACAACCTTGCTTGCTGAAACTGAAGAGGACCTGAAGCTCTTGCTGCACAAGGTCAAGAACCGTAGTCTTCAATATGGACTGAAGCGCAACATCAAGAAAACAAAGATTCTCACCACTGGGCCGATTGGCAGCATCATGATAGATGGTGAAGAGATTGAGACTGTTAGTTTGCTTGACTCCACAGTCTCCACTTTTGGTACCAGCAACCAAGAAAGCAAAAGATGAATTGAAAAGGATCTGTGTAAAAAACAATGTATTTTAACTTTGTAAATAAAGTCGTATAAAATAAAAAGACTAATTGCATTGAGAAAGTCTGCTGTCAGGGACCTTTCCAGAGTATTAAAGAACAATGATACCAGCTTGTAGACTAAGGTGTGCCTGATCCAGGCCATGGTCTTCACAATTACGTGCTATGCATCAGAAGTCTGGACAAGGACTAGGGATGATAGAAGGAGATTTGATGCCTTTGAGCTGTGGTGCTAGAAAGGAGTATTGAATATCCCATGGGTTGCTAGGAGAACAAACAGGTTTGTTTTAGAGAGAGTGAAACCAGGCTGCTCCTTGGAGGCAAGGATTCTGAAGCTTTGTCTGACATACTTTGGGCAGGTTGCAAATCTATACCCAATCGTGCAGTATTTAGTTCTATTGTACATAGGGTTACAGTGAATTGGAGATGACTCAATGGCACCTAATAAGCAACTCCTTTATTACATGTTTAGTTGTCTTTACCTTAATACCCTTTATAAGTAGTTTTTACTTCCTACTTGTGATCTCCCTGGAATGTTTACTTTTGTGTAAAAGATTACACACACACACACACACACACACACACACACACACATATTTGTATTTCTTCTTCTCAAGGTTATCCATGCTTTTCCCCACTATCTGAGTTATTATGTCAATGGCTCAGGATAGAAGAGATTTTAGATCTATTGTATATAGCATGGCTATGAGTTGCAGTTGACTTGATGGCACATAACAAGATTAGCTATAATTTGTTATGATATACACAGTCAAATGACTTGCATAGTCAATAAAACACCAGTAAAGGTCTTTCTAATATTCCCTGCCTTTGGTCAAGATCCATGTGACATTAGTCATGATATTCCTCGTGCCATAGGCTCTTCTCAATCCAGCTTGAATTTCTGGCAGTTTTCTGTTGAGGTACTATTCCAACCATATTGTAATAATCTTCAGCAAGATTTTACTTGCATATGAAATTAATGATGTTATATAATTTCCACATTCTTTTGGATCACCTTTATTGAGGATGGGAACAAATATGGATCTCTTCCATTAAGTTCATCAGGTAACTGACTTCCAAATTTGTTCAGCATAGACAAGTGTATTCAGGACTGCAACTACTTGTTGAAACACCTCAACTGGTGTTCTTTCAATTTTGGTGGCCTTATTTTTTTGCCTTTAGTGCAGCTCGAATTTCTTACTTCATTACCATTAGTTCTTGATCATTACTATCAGTTCTTGATGCTACTTCCTGAAATGGTTTGGTGTCAACCAATTGCTTTTGAGGCTGTACCTATATTCCTCCCACCTTCTTTTTACTTCACACCACTCGATATTTTGTCTACAGAATCCTTCAGTTTTGAAATATGAGACTTGAATTTGTTCTTTGGTTATTTCAATTTGAGAAATGCCTAGCATGTTCTTACCTTTTCTTTTTTTTTAAGTTAAAGATTTTTAAAAAAAATTTAAATAGCATTCTCTTTATTACAAATATTTAGTATTGGATTCCCATATTTCCCCCCTTTTGTTTTTATCATAATTATGTTATAATCTAGATGAGCATCCTTTATACACAAATAAATTAAATATAATAAACTCAAAGAAATACTTTCGAAGATCTCCATATGATCAGAAGGATTCAGGTTGAATATTCCTTGAAAGTTTAATTGTCCCATTGCCACAGTGCTTGTCAAAACCAGTTCTGA